CTCAAGTACGAACACAGCGAATCACATAGGGTTTAGGGTTTAGTTGGGGTTTTAGCGCCAGATACTCAAAATGCAGATTACATAAGCGTTTTTGGCTATTTGGAGCCTTAGGGTAAACCCTATAGACTCGGATCATCCCGACACTAAACCCCAAGACGTTAGACCAACATGATTGCTGGCTTTGGTGTTGTCAGCACATCCCTCCAATGATTCGACTGTTGAACCATCTCAATATCAGGTACTTCAGATACGCCATCTTGCCCAAGCAAGGTACAGGGCGTTTTAAGAACGTGACAGAGAGGATTCCTGAAATGCTTGACAATGAGCGGAGTAGTTGAATCTAGAAGCGGATCCAGGGCTGTTGAACGCTCCGGACCATGGGATTGCCAAGAGTGCAAGGCTGAGGGCTTAGAAATGGGATCGGAACTTGACTGGGTAGGACTGGTACAGCTGAAACCAAGTCTTTAGGTGCTTGTGTCAAGGCTTGTGGTTGCTGTTCGTATGCTGGACCTGCTTCATCCTCCAGAGTGCAGTACGGAGCGCTTCAGGCTAGTTTTCTCAAACCCCAGCCTCCAAATTGTTTGGCTTCAAGCACAAGCGGGCCCGCCGTAGTAGCGGATTGTTCGCCAGCGTGCACTGGGATCGAGAGGCTTTCGGGTGAGTCCTTTGATTAGCAATTTCAAGTTCATGTTGCGCGGGGGCGGGGGGCGTAGGGTAAAGATTTTGCTGCATAGGATTGCGCAGATGGTGGCTCGTATAAGGTCTGCCTAACAATAAAGTAGTTCGGCACCAGCTGATGGTGGCGATGTGTTCGAGCTTCACGGCAGTTGCGGCGGTTCTCTTTGTAGTTGTTGCGGGCAACACATGGACCGGGATGTTGGGGAATCTTCAGCAGTCATGCCTTCTCCCAAATCCTTTGAGGGTCGCTTAGCCCCAATCTTACATCCAAAACACCGAAAGTCTTCCAGGACACAGCTCTCGCCTTCCAATCCGATTCCTGGGATTGGTAGATCGGCAATGATCTGGGACGAGGTGGGTGAAGGAGCCTTTCTCTTCGGTGGGGAGGCGATGCCAAGCTACACCAAGACCAACGCGTTGTTCCCAGCATTCGCCTAGACATTTTTTGCGTTTCCTTAGCTTAAGCTCACAGAAGACGCAGAATGCTAAGTGTTCATTGGAGCACAGCACAGGTACTTCTACAGCAAGAGCTTAAACGCTTGGGCAGTGAAATCAAGTACTGGAGCTCCGCCTGCGCGACACATGCACACGGTGGTTCTGCGGACGCCGCAAAGGATTCTGTACGTGTTCGCGGGGGGGATACGCGACATTCACAGTAGTGCCACCGGGCAGCTCTTCAGCGACTTGTTTGGCTATAACGTAGCTACAGACTCCTGGACGCAGCTGACGAGCCACACCACTCCGCGTGCACTCCACACAGCAGTCTGGGATACAGCCTCGGACCGCATGATTGTCTACGGCGGTGAAGCCGATGACGCGTCGAAAACAAAGCTGGGGGATGTGGTGGAGTATGATCCCAGCTCGGATACATGGAGTTCGCCCAGCGTGGGCACAGAGCCAAATGCACGGAGCGGGCACGTGGCCGTGTGGGATGGGACCTCTGAGGTCATGTTAATGTGTTGTGGACATGGCGATGTCTCAGTCTACAACCCATTCGTAAGCTCTTCAGAACAGCATTACAATGACCTCTGGAGCTATTCTGATTCTTCGGGATGGACGGAATTAGTACAATTCGGCAGCTTTACTCCACGGCGGGAGCTAGCCGCCGTGTGGGATGCAAATACACGCTCACTCTTGGGTTATGGCGGTCGCTTCACGACTGGCGAGTTGGATTCCATGTTTTACTATTTCAGCACGACCGACAGCTTTGATCAGGAGACCCTTGCGGGACCAACTGCTCGAGATGCGCACAGCGCGACCTGGAACCCTGTTTCTGCAGAAATCTATATGTTTGGAGGATGGACAGGTTCAGGTTTCGATGATGTTCTGTGGAAGTTCACAAGTACCCATACATCAATTACAACGACTTCCACCACTTCAACAATGAGTTCCACGACTTCCAGCTCTTCAACAGTCACTGCCACGGCTTCCAGCAGCACCACGCGGACAAGAAGCAGTTCTTCCGCCACGTCCAGCAGCATGACATTGACAAGCAGCT